CATAGTCACAGATATAATATCAAATGATGTACATAGTCTCAGATATAATATCAAATAATGTACACAGTCACAGATATAATTTCTAATGATGCATTTGTTATCAAACGCTTCAAAATGCATTAAAAATGACTCATATTCGTCTAGTTTTCGTAGTTATAGTCAGTAGAAGACTTAGTCTGCATATATTGCTTGCATATGCTTGGATCTGCATATGCTTGGTAAATCTCGATATATAATTACTAACTGCTAATCTTCAAGCGGTCACCCCCAAATGTCTTGGCGGTCCAGCCGTCTATCGTGACCGACTTAATGCCCACCCCTGCTCTAGAGTGTGATGTTGGTTTAAATAAAATACTTAACATTGCGCGATTACCAGCTTTGAATTAAAAAAAAGAAAAAAAAGGGCTTAATCTGATACGGAGTTACTTAGTTAATTTCTGTTCGTTATACACACGCTTCTGTCATCCTAAGATTAGTTTAAAAAGTGAAAATGTGTAGACCAAAAATATGTGTGATTGTCTGGAGCACGAAGAATTGAGGAATCATTTGCTTAAATGAGTAAAGTATACTTTGCGAAGAGCTTACTTTTAGGGATAGATGGAAGGGAAAAATGAGAAATAAAACTCGATTATTCAATGGAATCTATTTTATTAAATGAGATGTTTGAAAGGAAACATATCACCTTATTGCATGAAGTGGCTGTAGGTCAATATGGAGGAAATCAGCCAAAAATCAGCCTGGAGGAACGGATACGGGTATTGCCCTGCCAATTGCGTATGCAGAATGTTGGGTCGAAACTTTCCAACTAATGAATTATTCATTTTCAATGAAGTATATCTCAAAGAGACGGAAATTTATCCATTTTACATGCGATTGATCAAGGTGATGAGTTTCTGAAATTCTATTTTCTCTTTCATTCGTTATTCTGTTTGAAGCAGTTTTGAATTGGTTGCTTACTCAAAAGAAATTTAAACTACTTCTATTGTTGAAACAGTTAAAATATTTTTTTGTAAAGGAATTTTAAGAGATAGCTTACGGACCCATGATCCATTATTGGGAAAATAATTTTTTTTTTACTTTAATTAATTTGTTTAGCAATTTCTTAAGTTAGGTGCTTTTTAAGATGTTGAATATTTTTTTTTTAAATATTGCCTTTAAAAAAATTATTCAATTTACACTTATAAAAGAATTCAAAAAATTCATTAATAAAATAAAAGGCTTTTCATTTGGCTTTAATACCTGAAAAATTCTTCTGTACTTGCATCTGTACTATATTTTTGAGATGTTTTTTTCACAATTTTTGCCGAAAATTCTTTTTTGTTAAAATCTGCTCCTCACACTGAAACGTAGCGCTATGGTGCTGAGTAGTCATAGTCACGAATTCGTGGGTGGTAATATTGTGTTATGGGTTCCAGCCAGTGGCGAACCCACAAAGGGGGGGGGATCCTCGGGTCCGGACCCCCGACAAAGCCTTTGATTTGTCGTATATATTACGTAAAAATTAATTATTTGTTATTAATAGTTAATTTTATTAATTAATTCTAATTATTAATTCAATAATTTATTTTTTACTGTTTTTTGTTCCCGAAAATCGACAAAATCAAAAGAATAGGTTGGGTGGCGCATTGGAGCATAATACGAGAATAGAAGACTTTCGACCGTGGACCCCCTCCCACTTGAAAAATTCCTGTGTTCGCTACTGGTTCCATCACTAATGACACTAAAGACCTACTGTGAAGAGGGACTAATATGCGTTTATTCTGTACGTGTGGTATGCTAGCTTATATGTCGTCCTTGTCACTTGATTGTGGTTAAAATCACATGATCCGTTACTAATATTCTCGTGTAATTTCGCAGTGTAACTTGGATAAAAAAAATCAATCAAAGCCTAATCTCAAAGAGT